GAAGGTGACTATGATTATGATATAGATGATGTATTAGGTATGGATGACGGTAATAATAATGACGATAATTATGATGATAATGAGGAATGATAATAATGAGAAATAATTACAATAGTTAATCCAATGAGAATTAATTCTAATATCATGTGATTTAAATAATGATACTATTTAGGAAATAAATGATGTAATTATGCAGGCAAAATATTCGCGATCAAAGTCCAGTTAACATATAATTATGCAGGAATTGTAATTTTATATTATATTTTAAACATTGTAATTTAATTAAGGAATAAGGATAAGCATATTATATTTTAAAAATAGTGCAATTTAATTAAGGAATAAGGATAAACAATTATATTAGAATCAATAAGTTTTAAGGACTTTGTTAATTAAATTTATTACATTAGATCAATAAATTTTAAGAACTGCGTTACAAAAAAAAATTTAGAACTGCGTTAATTAAATTTATTATATTAGAATCAAAACTGTGTTTATTTTGTTACAAATACTTTAATTATGTAAAATGTTATTATGTTCATCAGTTCATATTTTAAACATTATAAGTTATAACAAATTTTAAAATTAGTATAAATATTATGAAATTTGAAGTATATAGGATTTTTTTTTTCGCAATTCAAAACCAAATTGTATTTTAATTTTCGTTACGAAAAAATCATAAAAATAAAAAATGGCAACATTAGTACCTTTTGTTCCACCGCCACCACCAGTATTCCAATGGACGATTAACGCTGCTAGGTAATTAATCGCGGAGCGAAGAAATTTGCACTAGCAATTCGAAAGAATTGCAAACCGTCATCATGTAAATGCATGGACAATAATAGCAAATAGGGTGTTCGTTGCAATGGGATTTGCAGCGACACCCAGGCAATGCCAAACAAAATGGAATGCCCTCAAACGAGGTTATGAAAACCTCAGTAGGATAATAAATAATAATGATGACGACATTCCTATTATAAGCCCAAATAGTTTTGATAGAGCGTGTTTTGCTGATATGAACGATGAATTCTGGTTACAAACTGGTAATTATTATTAATTATTATTTTAAATTAATTTTATTTAGGCAATTCATTCAATTCATTAATATTTTTATTGGATTTTAGATCTGTTTAGACGAGAGTATCGACGGCAGCATTCTGCGTATGATCTACTTTGATATGAATATAGATTGCTAAGGGAAAGAAGAAGGTCGCGATCTAGGTCTCGATCAAGAAGTAGATCAAGAAGTAGAGATAGAAGACGAGATAGAAGTAGAGATAGAAGACGAGATAGAAGTAGAGATAGAAGAAGAGGTAGAAGCAGGTCCATACATAGAAGATAGAGATATTAAATTTTAATTTTTATTATATTTTTAATCGTATATTTTATTAGTTTAATATTAAATATTATAAAATAAATATTTACATACAAAAAATCATATTGTCTTTATTTTTATAAATTGTTTAAATGCTGAAACTCTAATTAAATCATATAGAAAGTATTGCCGAAACGCCGAAACAGTTTCGGCAAGTTACGGCAGTTTCGCAATTTTGATAGGTTTCGCAGTTTTGGCATTTCTTGATGATTTCGTGAAACTAGTTTTGGCAGTTTCGCATACGCCATTCTGCTGAAACCCTCTAGTTTCGGTAAGCAACCTTAGTTGCAACAAATAATAGCATGAACAACCTTCATCATAGTGATAAAAGTGCTCGCAGTCCTGAAAACAACAGCGTCATGTATCGGATTTCTGCCTGTGGATGTAATAGCCTTAATGAGAATTATATTCAATTGGATAATATCCTATTTGAAAAACAATTTTATGAATATATTGATATTCAGCCATATCTTCCAAATGATGTCGTAAAGCGATATCGATTTATAAAAGATTTGCAGCTCATGTTTCCAATAGGTGTATATAGGTTAGTATTTGCATATTAAATATAAACCATGTTTTTTCAATAAAATAATAATAAATAATTATTTTTAGATACCATCAAGGCAATTATTTAGGAACTATTAACTATGTATGGAGAATTCCGAAGATTGAGGTTTTTGATGATGAGCATGAAACTTTGAAAGCATGTATGCTGACTAGGATTCACGAAGAATTACCTCACTATTTTACACGGCAGATGCGAAAGAATGTGCTAAATAAGGCAATAATAATACAATAACGATTGATATTAAATTAATGATTTATATTTTTAATCATTATTATAATTTTTAGTATTCTTACATTAAAAAAGTTTCACTGGCAATATTATGAATGCTTTATTTTGATTTCACTGGTGATGCTTCTGTAACTTCAAATGCCATCTCTCGTGATGTAGAAGAGAGATTACGATTAATGCTAACTTTAGCAGATTCTAATATTATATTTGATTTGCGAACAAATAATGGATTTAATGGGACAAAATTTAATGTGTTTTGGAATGAGTTGGAAGCTTACTTTAATGAGCAGGTATAAAAGTTTGCACTTACTTTTTATAATTTATTTTTAATTATAAATTATTAACTTATTTATTCACTTTAAAGAATTTGCTTTCAGTAGATGAACGGCGTCATGAAACTGTTTTATATATGTTATTGGCTATATCTGTTTGTGATCTTCGTGAAATTATAATTGAAAGGCTGAGTATAATCCATAATAATACCCTTTCTTCTGATATTTACATTCCATCTGAAGAGTAGATCCGCCTTCAGTTTTGCCCTACAAATGCTACTACAACACGATCAATATATAATACTGGTCGATTTAATGTAAAATTTAAAGTGCAAAGTCAGTTGCTTCAGAAAAATAGTGATGATGCCCATTATTGTGCTGCACTTTTCCGATACCTTAGAGAATTCTGCATTCAATACCATCAATGGACTTGTTTAATATCTGCAGATGATAAACATAAAATTCCTATTGGAGAAGATGTTGCAGTTTCTACAGGAGTACGAAATCGGCGTTCTATGGTTGCTCAAGACAACATTTTGGCTGCTGCAGATCATGATTTCACTAAGCTTTCTTTAACACCATCTGTCACATTTTTTATTTCAATTCCTAATGATATTTCTGGATCATTTTATGATGGACAGGTGTTTGTATCTTACAAAGATACAATTTTTGAACCAAGCAGTGCTATTCGACACTTAGCTGAATTTTTAAATGCACTTAATATCCAGTTTGAACATCAAATATTTCCTCCAATCTTATGTCTTTATACTGATGGAGGTCCTGATCATCGGTGTACCTATGGTTCAGTGCAAATTGCTTTGATTTGTCTATTTTTCGTGGAAATTTTGATTTTCTTGTTGCAGTTCGTACAGCTCCTAATCATAGCTGGACAAATCCTGCAGAGAGAGTTATGAGTACATTAAATTTAGGTCTTCAAGGTGTTGCACTCAAGCGTGATCAAATGAGCTCTGAATCTGAAACTTTGTTTGATATGGTAAATACGTTAGATGACATACGGAAAAAAGCTCAAAAATATAGTGATTTAGAGTTTGAGTTAAAAGAAAGTATAGCAGGTGTTCAGAATTTATTAAAAAGTAGAACAGAACGACTTTTATTTAAAAGTAAAAAACTTAAGTGTCACACTCCAGCGACTGAAGAAGAAATTGCTGAATTGTTTGAGGTAAGATTTACTTACTTTTTTATTTATTTTTTTTTTTTTTGCTCATACAAATGTTTTTACTTTTTGTGCAGTTTATTTTCAATATAGATTCAACTTTGAAAATTAAAGAAACTACACAAGCACAAATACATAGTCATCCTGCATTAGTTGAGTTTATAAAAACTCATTGTCGTGTACGTGCCTATAGCTTCATCAACATTTTTTTTTGATGTTTAACTCTCATACTTTTATCTATTAATAATCTTTTTTAAGATAAAAAAATGTAACAATCCCGCCTGTTTATACTGTAAACCAATCCGCCTTCCATTAAATGAATTTCATAACTTGAGTTTTCTTCTGGATCCAATTCCTTCACAGGGTAATCAACTGTATTTTGTTTATTTAATATCAATTGGATAATAATGATTTTTTTAAAAATAAAATAAAATAAAATATAATTAGATAATACAGACCATTATGCAACTTTTCAAAATGTTTATGGAACTGAAACTACCGAAGAGTATAGGCCTACATACATGCAATCACAAGTAAATGCAGAGCCTATCCCAAAGTCTATTCTGGTTGTGGCAAAAATCCGTGGTTATATCAATTGTAAAGATTGTGGTAAACGTTGCTGTGTGTATAGTGATAAATCCTTGACTTGTAAGGAACAAGAAGATTATCAACAAGCAATGGATTTATATTCATATTCTTGCGGTGCACCAATTTTTCCTGACGATCATTATTTGAAAGAAGTAGTATTTGTGCGTACCCGAATCAGTTGTGACTCACCAATTGAAATACTGTATTATTCAAGCCGCAGATCAGGCAATTATATAATCTGTTATTACTGCGGAGAAAGAGAAGATTTGGTAACTTCTTCTCAGTCTTTGAAAGAACGTTTTAAGCAAATTTATCCTTTATGTGAAGGATGTCAGGAAAATGGAAAAGAATTTTATACTAAAGGAGAAATTAAAACTAATGGATGTGCTTCTAAACGTCGTAAGCATGGGTAAATGGTTTATAAATAAATATGTAAATATTGATTAGTTGTAATAAATATGGTATCAAAAATGGAAATGATCAATAGATTTATGAAATGGATTTTCGTTTATAAATAAAATTGTAAATTTTAATCATTTTTAAATATAAATTATATAAAAAATTTTTATATATATGTATTATTTTTATCCCCCCTCCTAATTGGTTAGCCTAAGTTATGTTAAACAAACAATTGAGTTGGTCCGGCCTTATTGCAATTATATATAAGTAATTATGATTTTAAAAAATATATAATTTGTTAATTTAAATTGTTTTTAACAAAATCAATTAGTGCAATTATGATTTTAAAAAATATATAATTTACTAATTTAATTTGTTTTTAATAAAATCAATTAATGCAATTATGATTTTTAAAAAATATAATTCATTAATTTAAATTGTTTTTAACAAAATCAATTAGTGCAATTATGATTTTAAAAAATATATAATTTACTAATTTAATTTGTTTTTAACAAAATTAATTAATGCAATTATGATTTTTAAAAAATATAATTCATTAATTTAAATTGTTTTTAACAAAATCAATTAGTGCAATTATGATTTTAAAAAATATATAATTTACTAATTTAATTTGTTTTTAATAAAATCAATTAATGCAATTATGATTTTTAAAAAATATAATTCATTAATTTAAATTGTTTTTAACAAAATCAATTAGTGCAATTATGATTTTAAAAAATATATAATTTACTAATTTAATTTGTTTTTAACAAAATTAATTAATGCAATTATGATTTTTAAAAAATATAATTCATTAATTTAAATTGTTTTTAACAAAATCAATTAGTGCAATTATGATTTTAAAAAATATATAATTTACTAATTTAATTTGTTTTTAATAAAATCAATTAATGCAATTATGATTTTTAAAAAATATAATTCATTAATTTAAATTGTTTTTAACAAAATCAATTAGTGCAATTATGATTTTAAAAAATATATAATTTACTAATTTAATTTGTTTTTAACAAAATTAATTAATGCAATTATGATTTTTAAAAAATATAATTCATTAATTTAAATTGTTTTTAACAAAATCAATTAGTGCAATTATGATTTTAAAAAATATATAATTTACTAATTTAATTTGTTTTTAATAAAATCAATTAATGCAATTATGATTTTTAAAAAATATAAT